GTCTCTGGGACTCCGCAAGAATACCCCTGCGATGCAAACTCGAACAAACGTGAATCCGGACAGAGCTGGCGGCTGCTAATCCTGGGTTTCAAGGAGTCGGAGTGGTTTCGTTCGGTGAAACGTTGAAAGCAGTGTTCAATCGGGTCGTCCTTTGCCAGCGTTCCAGAATAGGAATCAGTAATTACGCGAGTTACAATAGAGATAGTTGCAAACGAGAATGACTACCATTCACAATGACCTTGCAATTTGTGTTCGAGCGGAAAAGGCCGTACGTGATTACACATGACCTTCCTGTCGAGTGGCAGGATTGTAGGGCCGATCTGTGCAGGAAGGGTTTAGGGAAATGCGACATAGGCATAGACAACGTATCCCTGCAATTCCGACTCTTCAATCCAATTCAAGTCCTAAATGCGAAGGTTTTGTGGTTCCAGTTTGCCGATGTCATGGCTGGTGTAGTCCTTCCAACCAATCTCAGACAAGGGTTTGTAGCTGGTGAGGTGGTTCACCAAAATCAACGTTCCAAATTATATTTCCTGTTGCCCTGATAGAAAAGCCAAGATGAGTATGCATAGTCCGTACATCACACTTGACGCACCCAACTGCACAGACCAGCTTCTTCCGTTCCGCACTAGGCAGCACCGCACGTCTACGTCGTTCTGGGCACTGAATTTGAAGCTGGCGGTGAGAAACCCTTCGTTGAAATTGGGTTGGTCAGTCCGTGAGTAGCGCTTCTCTGGCAGCCTGAATGGTGATAAATCAGATATGAAGACCTCCCGTCGATGAGGGCTTACCATCTCAGCTCGTTGAACTGTCCGGACCATTGGATGTCGTGACCGTCGTCGTAATCTTGAGTCTGTTGTTGGTAAGCGTACAGACAAGTGAGAACGGATATAACAGACCCACCTCGACTTGAAACGTCGATGTCCTGCTTGTAATCTATGACAGCGATGGGGTGCACGAGTTTGCCCCCTCATGTTGGACACGTCATTCTGGTGAAACACTTCAAAAGGGTGTAGGCCGTTACATACGACGAACCCGCAATTCAAGCCGATCATGGGCGGCGAGTTGTACATCCCTTCTGAGGTGAAGATTTGTCGCGACTGATTAGCGAGAGTGTGAGAGTTAAAGTGGGGGACGATTCTCTTTATAGCTAGAATGATCAGCTTCGTACGAGGTAAAGAGCTCGAGAAGAACTCACAAGTAGTGCGTACAGAGTGAAGATGCTAATTTGTATGAGCGCCTGGCTGGCAGTGCCTAACACGTAACAAGTTGCAGCCACGGCTTATGGGAAGGGACAGCCTGCTTCATTCGCATATACTATCGATTCCACACTGGGCAGCAACCTACTATTCCCAATGTGTCTTGGAATACAGGAAAGGTGCTCGGTTTTGAACCTGGGCTCCCACAAACATTGTCACTTTAGAGAAGATGTCACCGAAGAGTGCATTGCTGGCGGCCTCGATGACGCACAACTTCACTTTTCGATTCATGGTTAAATCAAGAAGTTTCCGTAAAACCGTAAGACCTTACAGGACACCACTTTCACACTTGCCATTTGAACCAAGGGCCAACTTTGGTGAGGGAAGGATATGTCCCGCCCAGTGGTCAAGAATTCAGATGGTGGTGAACGCCACGATGTCCTTAACGGCAAGAACACTCAGCTTCAGAAAAGGCGCGAAGCGCAAGAAACAACTCACCGTGAAGGGCGCAAGATCGAAATCTCCGCACACTTGAAGCCACTCTGCACCGACGTCGCTGTCTACAAAGTCGCATGCTCATCAAGGTCTTTTATCTCTTTAAACCCATACTCCTCCTTCCCAAAAACCTCTCGGGGCCAGAAATACCGTTGCTGATCGACATCTTCACGAAAGTCATGGAGGCCCATGGAGTTTGAGAGTAGGAGCTGGGGCCTTCCTCATCGAGGCTGAGAAGATGCGAAAGAGGCCTTCGCAGACGAGGCCCGGGACGTAGTGCCAATACAGGTCGTATTCAGAGATGGTGGAGAGGTAGAGGGAGCCGGTGGTGGCTGCTTTGTGGGCGTAGTCTGCCGTGCTGGTTTCCATTTTTTAGAATCCAAAGTTGAACTGCGAAGTGGGGGTCGAAGACGAACTCGACAAGGCCACGCCACAGTAGCAGGAGTGAATGGCGCCCTCGAAGATGAAGTCGATGTCGAAGAGTCCAAAGAAGCAACAACCTTACTATGCAAGATACGCTCCTGCAACGGTCTAGCGGACGAACATGCTCCGCGTAAACATCCGTGCTTCTCGTTTGCATCCGCCGTCCGAGATTGGGCTTGAGAAGCACAACAAAAAGGTGATTCCCAATTCCGAGTGATTATATGCGTATTGCGTGGAGTAGAGGTTGTATCCCAAGTCCAACTTTGTGAATCTCAACTTCCTTTCACGTCAATCAGGTCCACGGAAACCTCCTCACTGGAAGCCTGGAATCAAGCACAACACCCTCAGCCGCGCGCGGCGCACACCCAGCATCACTTCTAACAGTGGAGGAAGGATTTTGCGTGGCGATCACGCGGACATGATGAGGCAGAGTTTATGTTGTCCGAAGCGCACAAGGAAGTTTGGATGAGAGTCCGGATGAAGGGTTGATAGAGTTGAAGTGGGGGAGAAGCAGTTGAGGCGGAAGACACGGGATTCGAAGTGGAATGGGGGATTGAGGCGGAAGGAAAACTTTGGATGATTGGAAGGGCCGGGACGGGAGTCCCTCAGCCATGTGTCTTCTTGCATTCCCCATTTTCGGTCCCTGGTCGTCACTCTGCGTGATTTGGCCCAAGATGGGCTACGTCTTCGTGCGGCTTTGGCTGGAGAAATCGAGGTCGCGTCCTAGGCTCTCCCTCTACACCAGCATCCCTGCGTGCAGACAACTTCCTCGAACAGCTGCATGGTGTCGAAGCAGAGGCGGTCGAAGCAGAGGCGGTTGAAACCTCACTGATATCTTGACGAGGGTGCTTCAATTTAATGACTGGCACTAGGTCGGCCATGTAAACTCGGATGGCGGGATTGGGATCTGAAGGGGCGAGGGAGTGCGAAGGAGGGTCAAAGCCATGCGATTATGGTGGGTTTGCTTCAAGGAGTTCTGGTTTACACCAACGTACTGGTTGTGTACGAACACTTGTGTGTGTTTCCAGAGTGGTGGCCTCTGAATAGGCCTTATTTAAGTAGCAGGACTTGATCATCACGCGCTTTCTGAGGGTAGCAATTTGACATTGTAAGAAAGCAGCTCAAAATTCAAGAGACGTACATTTGTCTCAAAGTTTTGTGGTGCAGCTCAAGGCCATGTTGGACGGTGGATGATGAGGAAGAATGAGCCAGAGTGGCGTGTTTGCTGTATGCTTGTTGACTGAGTTGTCTAGAACGTCACCCAGCGTTCACCTATCATTCACTACCACCATAGGCTTCTTCGCTGCGAATGTGGAATTGCAGCAAAACGGTGTTGCGCGTGCTCGCCGATCAAGGCGTTGAGAGGAAAGGAGCGAGCAGTATCTTGGATCCGGCGCACTTGTGTTTGCCTATATGGTAGTCCCACTGAGAGGCAAATTCCGTTTTATTCATTCCATCCCAGTACGCTTTTCATTCTTTAAGGAATTCTCTCAACAAGTGCGATTAATGTCAAATTTCAACAGCTCAGGTTCAATCCCAATGAATGGGCGGTAGTCGACGAGCGTGCTCAGCTCAAAACTGCCAGTACTCTCCTCCCGGTGTAGACAACCTTAGTTTCCGGAAGTTTGGGGGTACGAGACACCCACCAGCAGGGATGACGGCTGTTGAAATCCTGGACGCTCCTAACGAGAAGAAGTACTGGCGCTCAATTGCTCAGGTTAGAGCGTATATGGAGTACGTGGTTCAGGCGAAGCAAGACGAGGGGATGACTTGGCATCTTTATCCTGATGAAGAATTTCACCCTGGCTTGGACGGGAATAGGCAAAGTAGCGAACACAGGGTGCGTGTATTGATTAATAAGTACGTCCCCATTTTTTAATACTTTTTAGCAGAATTCGCCGGAATGATTCAATGAAGTTGCCCTGTCAAAACACACAATACATTTTGTACCTCTGCGAGAATGGGTTAGAAGCATGTCGACCAAAGCGCCGAACAGCTGCATCGCAGCAAAACGATTGGTTGTGGGCCCCCAAGCTTGAGCCCAGCAGGTTTACCGTCAATGTTCGTGGAGAAGTCTTTTCTTCAATTGAACTTCAAGGTGGCCGAACTTTCACCTCAGTCTAAGCTGTTGGCTTTGCCAGAGGTGTTATACATGCAGGAGTTTCGACTTCCATGAGTTTCTGATGGAGGACGGTAACAGGCACTTCAAGTTCACCTTTGGCCTTGGGGAACAAAAGCTTGACGAGGAACCCTCGACGATGAGACCTCAAATCTAGCGTCATTGACTTTGGATTAGTCTCATCATCAGGTTCAGAAATGCGATTTCTTGTTGATTCCCCTTATCCGCGATTAAGGGCTGCATATCTTACGGTGGAGGACAATATGTGGGGGACCTGTGTGACAACACGAACGGTCACGTCGCGTTTCAAGCCAATTGTCGTCGGGTCGATAACGGGTGGCTCGTATCGCAACGAGTCCTGGTCACCCCGGAGGGCGCCTCACAAGCATTCTCCAGCGTGTCAGACTTTGTCGACCATCAACAATTTTTGTGCCAATATATTCGTGTCAATGTGTTGCCCCCACTTCTTCCCAAGGAATATTTTTTGGCTCGAAAGCGACCGCGATCATTGATTGGGCGACTGCTGGATTCCATTCGGAATTTTGGGAATATGCTCGGATGCATGACCCTATATACTCCTGCTTGCTCACCTGTATCGGCGGCCCGCAAACAAGGGGATATCAGACGCCTGTTTGAGCTCATTAACATCAGCCTGTAATCAACCAACTTCACGGTCAGCTCTTTTTGCTCCCCAAGCGCATGATTTCTCTCACGTTTTGACTTCAGTCCTTTCAAGGTGTTACTCAAGTTGTTAGAAAGGCACAATGTATTCCTCAGACTCACAATACCCCTCAGTGGTGTGGAAGTGGGACTATTCCCTGTCAGAAACAGATAGTCCGGGAGTCACCAATTGGTCGTGACCAGTGTCACTCCATCGTTCAAGCGCTCTATACTGCCTCACGACTAGAAGGTATTGCTATAACCACAAGCAAATCATCGTCGAACTCGAGACTGAGAAGGAAATTGCTCAGAAAGCCTTGAAAACTATGATGAAGCAGCGAAACGAAGCAGACGCCCTGTTGGCGGCCTTGAGCAGCACTGTCGACAGAGGCGAAGCTCTCCTTGATGACATTGGCGAACAAATGTTTAACGTAGAATGCGATTTGCAATCGCTGCAAGGTGGATTGGAGGGGCAGATCTCAAACACGAGGTTCAGGAATCGCAGCGAAACTTGCGACGAAATCAAACCTGAAATCGAGGAAGGCCAACTAGAGCTGCGACGGCTCTTGGAGCAACGTAAAGACATCTCAGAGCAGTTGGATCTCCATCGTGACCAACTGTCGCCCATACGCAAGGTTCCCCCAGAGATCATTCGTATCCTATTCCTCCTCTGGGCCTCTGACAGGCATTTTCTCCGATCCCCAACTTACGTTTCTCCAAATGTTCTGACTGGCGTTTCTGGAAGAATATTGCACTCGGTATGCCCGAATTATGGTCCTTGATACTGGTCGAGATACGGGACGGGGTGTTTTACCCTGACAAACGGACCGTTGAAAAGTGGATTGAGCGCTCTGGCTCCTCCGCGCTTTCTTTCTCTATTGAAGAAAGAGATTCATTTTTTCGCAGCAGCCATGCACGAGCTGATCAGAACCCGCCCATCATACTATACGGCAATACGAACTCTGAGTACCTTGAATCACCAGTCGCGTCCATGCTCGATCTCTTCATTCCCCATCACTTTCGATGGCGGAAAGTCCGTCTGAGGTATAACCGTGCATTGCGTGGGAAAGTTAGGTTGGCTTCCCTCCCCATGGACACCACTTATCCTTTACTTGAAGAGGTATACTTGGACGAAAGTTGCTACTCGTGGGCACAAGAAGATGTGGACCGCATTAAATCCATGATGGTCTTCGCACCACGGCTGCATTCCATTAGCTGGCTGAGCTGGGAATCATACAGGACGCTTGCCTTTCCCTGGGAGCAGCTCACACACTTCTCGCTGGGCCTCGACATCTCTATGTCTGAGGGTCTTGGTTTTCTCGCGATCTGTCCTCATCTCAAATCTCTGGAACTGAGACACCTTCTTCCCATGTATCCGGTCGGTAACGACGATGGCCTATTTGTCCACAACACTTTAGAACGTCTTTATCTAAGTACCGCAGGCAACCTGGCAGCTCTCTTCGACCAAGTCACTCTACCAGCTCTGAAGGATCTCTCGCTCTCCGAGGCGGACGGGGTCTTACCCACTGCCCTTGGAATGTTCTGCCGCTGGCCACAATCTCAGTTCCTCGCATTTCTCCTACGTTCAGGTTGCACCATCAAGCAGTTCATCATTCAGGAGTGCGATATCTCCGCGGAAGAGATAGCGGAGTGCCTCGCATATCCGCAGATATCGAAGTCGTTGGGTTCGTTGTCTATCAGGGAAGATCACGAAAAGCATCTGTGCGTGACGGATGAGGTGCTCAGGCAGTTGACGTATACACCACCAGTCATCTATTTAGAAAAGGTTCTGGGCAGTGGGGACGACCAACTGGTCGAGAACACCCCGGAGGTTATCTGTCCGAATCTCACGACCATCAAGCTGTGGGGATGCATTTCAGCCCAGGATGGAAAGGTCGCGGATATGGTTGAGTCGAGGTGGTTATCCAGGACCGAGTTGCCCCATCATGCAACTCAGGACGGCGGCCATAGGGTTTTTCGCTGACGCATGTCATACGGAGGATTGGACTCGGTTGGAGGCGCTGAACGTAGACAGGTTTGGGATCACACTTACTCAACTGTGATGGGAGTGGGGTCAAACTTCGTTTTCTGTGTATGTCAATATGCAGGCGCGCTCCCATGGGGGTTATTCATTCCCATCGCAGTGTCATTTATATCGTCAACAATCCAGCATGAACCTTGTGCTAAAACCAATACAATCTCAGCCCATCAACGCAACGCCTTGAGCAGCTCTTCTACAAAGCTAGCATCTACCAAATCAACACAATGAAGAGCCACCATTAGGAAGAGGAGCTGCTCGACTTGTCAAGGTTCTTGATAGTTGGGATTCGGTTTTTGGCTTGGGCGGTCCAGCTGACGAACGATGTCAAAACCCCGACAAATAAATGTGGGGAAGAAGGGAGACCAGCTAGCATACGGTCGTGACAAAGGTGTCGTCCTAGGAAATAAGGAATACAAGAGTTCCTGTTCGTGGATCTTGTCGAGCGGCTGGGAGATCTACGCGCTCAGACGCGAGCTCATTGACATCAACCTGTAATTAATCAACTTCATGGTCAGCTCTTTTTGCTCCCCAAGTGAGTCGAGATGAAAGGCTCACCTGATCGTTGTCAGGCTACTAGAACGGCATAATGTGTTCCTCAGACTCACCACACCCCTCAGCCGTGCGGAAAGGGCATGGGAGTATTCCCTCTTCTGATCGGAGGGTCCCTTCGAAACATGGGTGTTTCTAGAATGGCAGCGATGCCGGTGAGGGTGGGGGTATGTATCGAGTATTTCGGCATAGCGTAATAATCCGCCACGTCGAGCATGGATTTGGGAGTGAGTCGCTATCGTTTCTGCGGTTACCGTGCACCACATCACATCTACGATCCAGTGTTGACTCATGGCGCACGAAGACAACACGGGTCCTCTCCACCCCTTTGTCTTCCATTCTTTCGAGGGTTCAAGGTTCTTCCAAGAAGGCTGTTGAACCGAACCCGGAAAGAAACGTTGAGTCTTCGCATTCACGGCCCCTTAGTGCTCGGAGGGGAGGGGATTGCGTCGAACGGGCTTGGGCTGCGTATACGTATGGTGGCGTCACGAGCTTCGCGAGCCTGGCGATGGACATAGACCTGGCCCTCTCCAACGTCCACCCGCGCCAATCATCACCGCTTAAAAGCCATCGCGGCTGCACATACACAGTATCTGAAGTCTATCCAACCATCGACGTTGGCCAGACTTGTCGAAGTGGGAAGGAAGGTGAGACGCTCAGCGTCACTGCAGAGGAGGGTGATGCACACGAGTGCATTGTGGATGGATATAGCTCGTAGTTGGGTTGATTGGAGGGGACGACATAGGCTGGATGTGGTGGAACCGCAGAATAGCCAAAAGAATCAAAATCGTCGCTGATCCTCGGCTTAAATTGGGCTTAAATTTCGGTTGGAGTGGATCTTGTGCTCTTGGATGTACTTACTACATCGGCTGAATCTGACGGAAGCGAGAGGAGATAAGGCGGCGAAAAGAAAGAGATTGGCGTCCTTAAATTTTATAGACCTTGGATTGGGAAGGTTGGATGAGGGTGCATACCCTGATCTAGGCGACGTTGGCATTTCCTGCCAAACCTCGGAAAGAAGTGTGATATCGGAGGCTACTGTAATCGCGTCAATAGTATTTCACGGTAATGGTAACCCTCCTATTCACCTTCTCGCTTTGTTCTCGCTCGCAGTGAATCGCTCCCAATCCATCAATCGTTGATGAATCACCCGTGTCTGTGAAGCCGCGGAAAAGCCAGACCTCGAACAGGAATCACGGAAAGAGGCATCAATGTCAACGTTCTTGCGATTACCGTCCGCCGTAAGCCGTGCAGGATAGTTTGGCGATAAGTACGGCGTCGTTGTTGTATGGTGTGGTGGGAACACAGCTGGGCCATATCACGAAACTGCAGTTCTACGAAAGTACGTGGGTAGTGGGGTATCGGATTCCCTAAGCTCGGGACGACTGAGACTGTTGCGGAAATGCTGAGTGGAGAATGCCTTTAGTCCTAATCCAAAGATCTCAGTAAGGTGAATAGCAAGATATAGCAGTTAAAGCCGAACGTACGTTCAATCCAGAAAGCAGTCTCCTACCGAGAGCAGTAGATAAAGAGACCATGGGTACCGGTAAAGCTTTAAAGGCCGGCGTGTAGCCATGTTTCAAGTTGCTGGAGAAATGATGGTGAAGAAGGAATGATGGTGATTCTACGGTGAACTTGAAATATCGCAGCCTCGCAGGGGTGACTACAGAGTGAAGAGTTAGCTAAGATGGCGTTCAGCCTGTTTACAGGGAAGAAGAAGCTTGTGGTTCTCTCCGCCAAGGAGATATGGGCGCATCTTGTCTGCATGACAATGATAATAACATCCTCAATGATGTTTGGCGCCTATCAATCCGCATTACATTGGTATCATGGTTACATAATGTTGGAAAAAGTATAACACGCACTTTATATATAGGAATTGGCCAGTTAGGCCCATTTCCTGCAAGGAAAGAACCCCCCTAACAGGCCCGGCCGTCTTCTTAGATAGGTTCTACTAGGCGACCACTCCCAAGCATCAGGAAGACAACATCTGGCTAGAGGGGCTAGGATTATCAATGTGGTCGTAGCACTGGATGAGCAAGGCCACTCTGATTGGCACTGACCACCAGCGCCTGAGTGTAGACAACTTGTGGAGAATACAAGAGTTCCTCCTGTTCATGGGATCTGGTCGAGTGCGGATCATGGTGCTAGCTGCTGCAGCATCGTCTATAAAGGACATCCTTGGGGTAGAAGGTTTGGGCGCGGATGCGCTATGGTTAAGAGTCCAATTTGCGAGGGTGGTATGTGGTTTTGAGTAGGGGGTCCCTCAGGCCGGGTGACATGTGACAAGGACAGTCGCGAACGAAACACTCCTGTTCAACGTTTGTGCCTCGACCCTCAGGCCCAGTGAAAATCGACCCTAAAAAATGGCCAAATGGATCGGTGGAGCCCGATCTGAACAGGGGAGATGGCCGGAAATTGGCAAATATATCGATTTGATCCGGAGAAACCCGATCTGCACAGGGTCAATTTTCACTGGGCCTCAGGTCCAGAGTCCGTCGCGCATGCGTCCTCGCCATCGTGGCATATGTAGTGATTGTCACGGGTTTAGCAACCCATGCGGGTTACGGGTAAGGGTACACTTGGGTAAGGGTACGGGTTTGATATTCCCAACCCTCACCAAACCCGTACCCGTGGCAGGGGTTAGCGGGTACCTGTAGCAATACCCGTCATGTTATTTGGTCAGTGTTTGTGCAGCAATAAGATCGAAAAAATACTAATTTATTGCTGCCAAGTTATGCATAAGGGATACCTGAACAATTTGTAAGGTATTTTATCCCCTGCAAGTCACACTGGGAGAAGGGAAGTTTTTTGTATTTGGTTTTGTATTTTTATGAGGGTGTATCATTTTAAATTAATGAAATATTCTACACACATGTAAGTAAGAACAAGTATATACAAGGGGGTTAACTATACAAGGGGGGTGTAGCTACGGCGTAAATATGGCATGGGCAGAGGGGAGTGCAGAAGGAAAGAAAAGAGACGCGAAAGAAGCTGATCAGAGGCGCTATATATACAAGGCACTTTAGGGCGGGTTCAGAATCAGAGCAAACCCGCCCTAAAGTGCCTTGTACACACAGCGCTTCTGCTTCTTTCGTGTCTCTTTTTGTCTTCCTCATCCGTTATTCCATCTTAGCCCCCCATATGTATCAGGACACGGGACAACGACGTTACGAGGACACGGTGAGTACCCTCTGTCCCACGTTCATCCTAACCCACCTCACTGAGACAGGAAAACAATGGAATGACAACATGGGACGACAACGATGCGACGGGAAGGACACGGGATGACGACGTGACGAGGAGTTGAGGACACGGGACACAGACACGACGAATGAGGACATGGGGACCATGGGACAACGACGACTGCTCCAACCATGCACACCCCAACAACGATGCAGATGCAGGCGCTACGTCGTGTCAGCGAGGCAGCAACCATACCATGCAACAACAGCGACACCACGACGACACCACAGCGACACCATGACGACACCACAGCGACACAACGACGACGCCACAGCAACACGACGACGACACCACAGCAACACGACGACGACATTACAGTGACGCAACGACGACAGACACCACAGTGATGCGACGACGACAGACACCACAGCGATGCGACGACAACACAAGCGACGCGATGACTACACCACGATGCGACCATGGCGACACACGACGGTGCCGCAACCATGCGATGACAACACAATGGCCACACAACCACAATGCGATGATGAGGCCCTTTCTCCTCATCTCAAGATGTCTGTTGGCTCATGTGTTTCACTTTACCTGTAATGTATTTTGTAGTCAGTTACTTGTAGCTGTTCCAGCGAGTGCTGTGCCGTGCACAGGTCTAAAGCTTCTACATAATCAGTTGAATAGAATACAGTTATAATTGTCTTCGTGTTAATACACTAAAATTTGATATTGTTTGACTTGTGACTGAGAGTAAGATCAATACTGAATGAAAATACAGTAGCTACCCGTCATAAGACCCGCCTAACCCACCAAACCCACGAAAACCCGTACCCTTACCCGCAGAAACCCCTACCCATGGTTGAGGGTATGGGTTTTCATGGGTATGGGTACGGGTATGGCCAAAAGTACCCGGGGGTTACCCGTGACAATGCCTAGGCATATGAGCTTAGATCCTGCCTATCCAGAAATTACTAGAATTATTCAGCTTAACGCGAAATACAAGCCTATAAGTTAACCAATCCAATAGAATATGTAAGTGGGGTAGTTCATCACAGCACAGTAACATAAAACTTCCTCAACTCAGTCATAGTACTCCACCACCCCACCAGCACCCAAACTTCCCCTCCGAACCTTCTCCCCCTTAGAACGGAGTATATCCTCAATCGTAGGATTCTTCCCCTCCTCAGTGCCGAATTTGAACCAGCCCAGGTGGTCCGCTATCAGATGTCTACGTTCTTGCAAGTCAGACCCTAATCTCAAAAGAAAAGAAGGAACCCACCGATTCTTACACCCCGGACATTCAACCAACACAATACCACACTCATAGCTGCGTTTTGTGAATTGGTGGGTTGAGCGTTTGCCGCATCCCTCAACTGTACATGTGAATGTCATGGAGAGTCGGGGTTTGAGTTTTTCGGGGAGGGGTTGGGAAGAGGTGGTTGTTAATGGAGAAGAAGAGGAGGAGGGTGAGGAAGAAGAAGAAGTGGCAGAGGCATCCTCTGATATTGGCTCTGTATGTGGCAGAGATGTGGTGTACGGTCTGCGAGCGAGAGGTATGGGAAGTCTTCTGGCCATTGAAAAAGCTGTGGGTTGCAGCTGAAAAGAGATGGATGGGTGGTGTGGAACTATGAGGCTGCGTAGTGGTGGTAGGATGCCCAAGTTTTTGAAGAGCCTTGACGGGAGCATGTTGTTGAGAAGCAAGAGACGCAAAAACATGTACAATTGTTGCGCACTTTGATCACTTTCCCCAGGGCTTGTCAAACTGGCAAATGTCCTGGCATTCGTAAATAGCACGTAAAAGTACACGTAGTAAAGACATGATAAGATAATCAGATCGTCGCAAGTCAATGGTCTATGTCGTGTGCTACAAGGAAAGGATAATAGGTCAAACGAAAAGTGAGGAAGTTGTGCTTGAGAGGGGCATGTTGTCCGTATAAGAAAAGATGTCGTCCATAGCTACGTAGAAGCTAAGTCGTCCACAGCTCAATGGTGAGGGATATGTGCTCCAACGGAGCTCAACCAGCCTGATAAACAGCAGGCCCAGCAACAATATGCGGATTTATGAACGAAATGTTGAACGGAGTCACGAAGATATCTTCATCCGTTATCGCAATGAACCTTTGATACATTTATCAGTCACTAGATTCGATCCACAAAAGGGGGGGTACGTGCATAGTAGCATTAACAATAGGCGAAGACCCATTCCCAAAAATGGTGCCATTCGGCTGGAACGTCGTCCCCGTCTGATTGATGATGTTTTCGAGGACGGTGTAGGTGGTATTGAGTTGCGATATCCAAGCTACGAACTATATCACATTCCATTCGTCAGTCCCACCGCATAATTCAAAGATGGATGGATGGAAGAAGACGCAAAACCAAAATCAGAACCAAACCTCACCTGAGGTGGACCAGCAGTCGTATTCGTAACAAAGCTACTATTGGGGCCTATCGCTTGACCGGGTAAATCCCAAGTAAGATTGACCTGTCGTCCGTGGAAGGAGAGGGGAATGGAGCGGTTATGCGTGATGGTGGGGTTGGTGTTGTTGTCTGGGATGGAGGTGTTGTCTGGGATGGAGGTGTTGACAAAGAGTGTTGGGTCGGGGTTGTTCTGTGTTGAAGATGGGTGAGTTGGGAGGAGGAGGAGGAGAGAGGGAGGCAGGGGGAAGGGGGAAGGGAAGAAAGATGAAGGACAAAAGAAAAAAAGAAAACGCACAACAACATTCAATGCCGGAAAATTCTGGAACTCAATCACCGGATTCCCAGCTGGACAACTTATAATCAATGGCACCAACAGCGTCCACATCATGCTCTGCGTAATCGCCGTTTGAAAATCGACAGGGATGGGGAAGAGGCCTTTGTATTGGCGAAATATCATTTGTTCGCGGGAGGAGGCTGTTAGTGTTTGAGCAAGGAGTTGGGCAGCTGTGCGTGAGTCGAGGTGTTCGATGAAGCCTAGGATGCCGGATTCGCCTATTGCTGCTATCTGGAGGGGGAGGAGGCGGTGGGGAAGAGGGGGAGAGAGGAAAAGGGAGGAAGGGACAAACCTGTTGGCTGAAGTTGATGAATTCGCGGACGTCTTCGAATGGGAACTGATAAGTGCACTGATTGGCTGCTTGTTCTGCATTGTAACATTAGGCCTCATTGCTACTGAGAGTTATGGGACGAGGTCACCCTACCTCCAATCATGTTGGAGAGCAGAGTAGAATGCGACACTTTTTGGTTGGCTAGAAACTGGATGAGGAATCTATCCGCTTCGAAGATCTGTACGTCCTCGAATTCTTGAACTGTGAACGTTGCGAGGCCAAAGTGGAAGAGGTCGAGTTCAAGGGGCTGTTGGTTTAATGCCAGGTTCTGTGTCGTCGAATGTCAATAAGGATGGAAGAGACATGAGATGAGCAAGCCAGACATACGAGGGACTGGAAATCAAAATCGCTCAGGGGATGATAGAACGGAGGTGTAGAGTTGGTTCCGAGACCACCGGAAGGTTGGAAGTTGAGTGCTGTGGTGGTGGTGGTCAGGATTGTCGTCGTGGGCCAGGCAACAGCCAACCCAGCCAGGGCAGCAGCGAGGATAGGGATCCACATTGTTCAAAGTGGGCTTTGAGCTTGCTGCTCATTTTGCATAATCAAATTTAAAGGGGACCGTGGAGCGAGAGTCAATACAGAGTTGGGGGATGAATTGACTGGTAAGACAACGTATACCGGCGGGGAGACTAGTATTATACCTGCACATAAAATCGTTATGATAGAATTGGCTTGGAGGACGTCAGATGAGGATGTAAGACGCCGGGTTCCTTGGATTGTTGGAATTTGGGATGGTGATGGTGATTGGTGTCCAAAAACACCACTGTTCTTTGGTGCCTTCGAAGCTGTGACGACATGTTGCACATGATGTGGTTGCTGAAAGAGTTCATTGCCGCCCCCTCGTAGCTGCTCTGCATGAGCCTAGATTGAGAGCAGCGGCTCTCCCTGCCCCTTCCAGCTCCTGGAGGTTGGACACCATCGACGCCAAGGCATTTTCTCCTGTGGCTTCTACAGGTCGGGAGGTCATCGTCATTTTCAGGCTAATCCAAAGCCAGCCTCTTGATGGCAAATGGTGGCCTATTTGCACAATGGGCCGTTGCAGCAGCAAATTCCCATGCGCCTCCGCCGCTGGCAAAACTCGAAGAACAGGCATACTAGAAAAGCAAGGTAAGTATGCATAGTTCGTACATCACACTCAACCCACCTAATCGCACAGACCAGCTTTTTCCATTCTGCGCTAAGCAGCACCGCACGTCTACGTACTTCTGAGCACTGGATTTGAAGCTGGCGATGGGAAACCGTCGGGCAAAATTGGGTCGGTCAGTCAGTCTTGAACAGCGAGGAGCGCTTTTCTGGTAGCCTGATTGATAAGTCAGATATGAGGAGCTCCTGTCGATGAGACCTCTGCAAGTTGAACTGTCCGAACCATTGGGTGTCGTGACCATCGTCGTAATCTTCAGTCTGTTGTTCTAGTAAGCATACAGACAAGTGAGAGCGATATAATACACTCACCTCGACTTGAAACGTCGATGTCCTGCTTGTGAAAGTAGGATCTGTGACGGCGATGAGATGCACGAGTTCTCCCCCTCTTGTTGGACACGTCATTTCGGTGAATTGCTACAAAAGGGCGTAGGCCCTTCCATATGACGAACCCGCAATCTGATGCACATCCCTTTTGGGGTGAAGATTCATCGCGACTGAGAGACTGAGAGTTGAGGTGCAGGGACAGTTCTCTTTATTTCTACTAGAATGATTAGCTTCGTATGAGGTGAAAAGCTCGAGAAGAACTCACAAGCAATGACTACAGAGTGAAGGTACGTCTAATCTGGGGTGATTTGTGGGTCAGGGAGCTGTTCAACGAGATGCATGATGGTGAAGCGTGAAGGGTCCTTGAAGCTTGATTGGTCAGCAGAGGTTTGAGGAGCGAAAACTCACTCTGAACTAGTGTTTGAAAGTCCGGTTAGGTCTGGTTATTGGGTGCCCAGGGGCTCTAACCGAGACCGAGACCGGTTAGCCTTTGTCCCGAAACCTAAAATAACCTAACCGGACCGCAACTAACCGGTTACGGTCGGTTATTTGCAGTTACTAACCGGTTAGGACCGAAAAATAAAGAATTGGTTATAACAAGGCAAATATGCTCATATGTATCTTGATAGATATTATTTCTGCTTATTCTAGCTTTAAAACGAGCCCAAGAACGCTAAAATCGGTGAAGAATTGACATATTTATGCAATTATCCTTGAAAGTCTACACATTTGAGTGATATTTTAGAGATTTGACCGTAACTTAGTCAAATTTTAAGTGTTTTCGACGTTCTCAAGTGCGTTTTGAAGGTGTATAATAGGGCTGGTTATAACCGGTCATAACCGGTTATATAACAGTTAGTTAACCGCAAAATAACCGGTTATTCCATTTTCAAAATCAACTAACCCTAACCGCAGTTAGGTTAGTGTTGCGGTTAGGTCCGGTTATTTTCCGGTTATTTTCCGGTTAACTAACCTAACTTTCAAACACTACTCTGAACCAACTCTGAACGATGCAACAGTTTCAGACGATGGAATTACCCACTGCTTCGGCCAACACAATAGTCGGATAAATGGAGCGTCACTTGACACTGAGTACTGGATCCTCGTGATGAAATCGAATCCATTGGGGTTATCAACCTCCAAGTCCATAACCGCGTCGTTCGCCTCCACCATCCTAACCATAATATCATCCAGTCCAGCCTGTTTGCTGTGCACGAGTACCTAAGCCCAGTGAGCCTTATTATCCGCGATCTGGGCATCATCTCACCATCAAACCCATCTATTAGGTTCTCAAAGAGAGCAAATTCAAAGAACACGGTCGTATTACACCCGGTACATTTCACGATCGTCTATCACGTTCCTTTTTGCTCACCGTGAAATGAACAACAGAGGAGTTCGTCGCTGCAGGTGCCTTTTTGGTGTACAAGTTCCCCGTATGGACATGGTAAGCGCATTCCTTCTCCATTTCCTTCCTTCCTCCTCCTTTCTACGCGAAGATTGAGTGACTTGTAAACAGGGAAAAAGGAGACGCATCCAAATCCCGCGACTTCCTCCCACAAGACAAACAATACCTAGTAACACGTGGCGTCCCCTGCCTCCGGCGCGCCACTCCCTAGCCTACACAGATGCAGACGAGGACGCTGAGCGCCTCCTCTCCTTCGCTGATTCCTCTTCCCCCTCCGCAGACGGCGACGAGTGGGTCGAGACGCATGCGGGTCAGCAGGCGCATCGAACGGACTCTGCGACGAACACGGGTGAGATTGCGGGGGAGGGGGTGAGGGTGTTGGGGCAGAGACGCCTGATTTGGATGATATCCCTGATATGGAGGAAGATGATTTGGAGGAGGGGGATGATGAGGCTACGGCTGCTGCGCCTAAAGCCTCAGTTATACCTGCTGCTGCCGGGTTGATGCTAGGTATGTTTGTTGGGTTTTCTGAAAAAGTCAAAGGAGTGCTACCGATTTCTTTGTAGCGCTAACGTGGAAGTCGCAAAGAGCAACCTGCTTCAAGTTTGCACTTACGATGTCATGATCACATATGACAAGTATTACCAGACCCTATGTGTTTGGCTGATCGGCTATGATGAGGTTCGTCTTTACGCCTTTCCCCATCTTTTTTCTACACTAGCTAAATGAAACAACAGAACCACACCCCACTAACCCCCTCCCAAATCTTCCAAGACATCAGCAGACCATGCCCATAAAACAGTAATGATCGAACCCTTCATCCACTCCGCCTCTCCAAGCCGCCTCCGTGCATCCATGCAAACACACCAGTGTCATGAAGAAAGTCATAGAACGGATGAAAAACAGCGTCGTCGAAGAACAGCTCGCACAGGAGGGTTGATTTTTATTTCGTCGTTTTCCTCAAGTTTATTGTGAGCATCGTGCCAACTATTGAGGTTGACTCGACTACGTCTTTTTGAGTTTGATGCCGCTCTCCCCTTTGTCCTTTGACTTTATCTGGTACCCCTAGTCCTCCCTCATTGCTAAGCTGTCATTTTTTTTACCTGTATTTTTTTCTACCATTGTTGGTACTTAGAGCTCCTCTTTCTTTGTGAATATGTTGCAATTTGGAATATGTATCTGTATCTTTTGTGTTTTTCTGACAGACTTTGGAGAATGCATAAATCATATCATCTCACCCCCCTCTAACAACTCTTTGAACTCCCATACACATACACTGTGAAGACAACTCAAGGGCACCCTTAAGCCATGGAAGCTTGAGAACATGAAAAGCTTGTGGACTTGGAAAACTTACCATCCTTGACTTTCTTTTGCTCAAATGACACAATCTATTTTTTTGGGAACAACAAGGCAAAAGGTGCATCATAATGGGTGGTAACTAGAGACATGTGCTGCATTTATGAAATTCTGGGAAGGTGGGCTGAAACTTTTATAAAGCTAAAATCAAATAAATGAGAAGATCTTGAAAGACTTGGAATATTGATACTCACAAAGACGATTGTCCATAGCAATCTTTACAAGAGCCTGTTTCTTTTGTTCCTTGGTTTTCATATGAGAGGCCTCCTCAATGGCAGTATTGATTTTTGCCATGTCAATAGACAAGTTGAACTTTTGCATGGCTAATTTGTAGGGGGCAGGGGAATCTGAAGGTTTCTGTTTCCACAGAAAAAAAGAGTGCTCTGCAATGATAGCAGTCACTGAGCAGTAAAATAGTAGTTATGATAGAGTGGTCATAAATGAGAGTAGACACACCAATACATAGAAAGGCAATGTCCTTGAAGGATTTGGTATTGTGAATCTGGATAGAATTATGTGGTGGTCAGAATAATGAATAGCATTTACACAGTGAAGCTAGTGAAGGTTTACCAAGGACCAGTCTGTATGATCAAGGACATCCTTTGCCTAAAAATAGTAATTGGTTCAGTCAATACTACTGGTTTTTATAAAAATATTGGAAGAAACAATAAAATACTGACTGTCTATTTGAACAAGTGGAGTTTCATAAGTGTTTTTCTAAAATTGTAGAACTGAACTCACAATCTCATCATTTCTTAGCAAGATGAAAAGAGAAGAAAGCTGAGACCTACCTTCTATTTAAAACACAGGCCACCCTCTTATCAACAACAAGTAGAGAAGAACAGTTGGATGGTGACTTACATCCTGTTCAAAACCCATAGCATGCTCTGGTCAGCAACAAGCAGGAAGGGCCAGCCAGATCCTGACTTACATACCATTAAAACACAGGCCACCCTCTTATCAACAACAAGTAGAGAAGGGCCAGTTGGATGGTGACTTACAGCTGTTCAAAACCCAGAGCATGCTCTGGTCAGCAACAAGCAGGAAGGGCCAGCCAGATCCTGACTTACATGCTGTTCAAAACCCAGACCATGCTCTTGTCAGCAACAAGCAGGAAGGGCCAGCCAGATCCTGACTTACAGCCTGTTGAAAACCCAGAGCATGCTCTTGTCAGCAACAAGCAGGAAGGGCCAGCCAGATCCTGACTTACATCCTGTTCAAAACCAAGAGCATGCTCTTGTCAGCAACAAGCAGGAAGGGCCAGCCAGATCCTGACTTACATACTGTTCAAAACCAAGAGCATGCTCTTGTCAGCAACAAGCAGGAAGGGCCAGCCAGATCCTGACTTACAGCCTGTTCAAAACCAAGAGCATGCTCTTGTCAGCAACAAGCAGGAAGGGCCAGCCAGATCCTGACTTACATACTGTTCAAAACCAAGAGCATGCTCTTGTCAGCAACAAGCAGGAAGGGCCAGCCAAATCCTGACTTACAGCCTGTTCAAAACCCAGAGCATGCTCTTGTCAGCAACAAGCAGGAAAGGCCAGCCAGATCCTGACTTACATCCTGTTCAAAACCCAGAGCATGCTCTTGTCAGCAACAAGCAGGAAGGGCCAGCCAGATCCTGACTTACATCCTATTCAAAACCCAGACCATGCTCTTGTCAGCAACAAGCAGGAAGGGCCAGCCAGATCCTGACTTACATCCTGTTCAAAACCCAGAGCATGCTCTTGTCAGCAACAAGCAGGAAGGGCCAGCCAGATCCTGACTTACATCCTGTTCAAAACCCAGACCATGCTCTTGTCAGCAACAAGCAGGAAGGGCCAGCCAGATCCTGACTTACAGCCTGTTCAAAACCCAGAGCATGCTCTTGTCAGCAACAAGCAGGAAGGGCCAGCCAGATCCTGACTTACATACTGTTCAAAACCCAGAGCATGCTCTTGTCAGCAACAAGCAGGAAGGGCCAGCCAGATCCTGACTTACAGCCTGTTCAAAACCAAGAGCATGCTCTTGTCAGCAACAAGCAGGAAGGGCCAGCCAGATCCTGACTTACATCCTGTTCAAAACCAAGAGCATGCTCTTGTCAGCACCAAGCAGGAAGGGCCAGCCAGATCCTGACTTACATACTGTTCAAAACCAAGAGCATGCTCTTGTCAGCAACAAGCAGGAAGAGCCAGCCAGATCCTGACTTACAGCCTGTTCAAAACCAAGAGCATGCTCTTGTCAGCAACAAGCAGGAAGGGCCAGCCAGATCCTGACTTACAGCCTGTTCAAAACCCAAAGCATGCTCTTGTCAGCAACAAGCAGGAAGGGCCAGCCAGATCCTGACTTACAGGGCCAGCCAGATCCTGACTTACAGCCTGTTCAAAACCAAGAGCATGCTGCAGTCAGCAACAAGCAGGAAGGGCCAGGCAGATCCTGACTTACATCCTGTTCAAAACCCAGAGCATGCTCTTGTCAGCAACAAGCAGGAAGGGCCAGCCAGATCCTGACTTACATCCTGTTCAAAACCCAGAGCATGCTGCAGTCAGCAACAAGCAGGAAGGGCCAGGCAGATCCTGACTTACATCCTGTTCAAAACCCAGAGCATGCTCTTGTCAGCAACAAGCAGGAAGGGCCAGCCAGATCCTGACTTACATCCTGTTCAAAACCCAGAGCATGCTGCAGTCAGCAACAAGCAGGAAGGGCCAGCCAGATCCTGACTTACATTCTGTTTATAACCCAAGACATGCTCTTGTCAGCAACAAGCAGGAAGGGCCAGTTAGATCCTGACTCACCCACTGTTATAACAAAAGCATGATCCCATTAGCATCTACTTGAGGCGCACTGGATGTTGGCTTACCACCTGTTCATATATATTATTTTGTTCTACCACTGTATAGTCAAGTAAGGTCCACATACCATATGTGGAAAATAATTCAGTATCTTCTCAACCATCTTCCTCCACTCTCTCTTTTCTTTGAATAACTTCCAATCTGGAAAGACAACTCTGTTATTCTAGATAATCAGCAATTTACCAGCATATAATTCAAAATGAAACAACTACCTTTTAATTGCATATTCAATTGACAGAGCCACATTATTTTGCTGCACTGTAAGAAACAGCTGTAAGAGTGTATCATCTGAAAAGGTGGCTGCTGTCTTCCTCAGCAGTTCACTGCAGTCACTTGTGGGATTTTGCATATCTGTCAAATGCAATTAATCTATTGTCAATGAGTAAATGAGTTTCTTATACCTCGAAAATACACATGATCTTTGGGAGGATACCTTCTCTTGAAGAGTTGCTGACCAAATTTCTCTTCAAACCTGGCAACTGACTCTTCTGGAGCTTTATTTGCAGCATCTTCCACATCCATTCCGGTATCAACCAGGTGTTTGATGGTTTGGGCATCAAGCATATCTGCTTTTGTAAACACAACAATAACAGGAACTGTGCACAACAAGGAAAGGTGAAATTCAAGAGACTATCAATAGTTTACATACCTCTACCAGTCCCACACTCATCAAAGAAAGTTAACTCTGCTCTTGTAAATGGTCTGGCTTCATCATTAATTGGGATGCAGTACCTACACAGGGTGTATTCAGATGCACTGTAATGTCACAACTCAGTCACTCACCAAATCACATGCAGATGATCCTCAAGCCAGTTGTTGGTTGAACATTTTTGCAGAAACTCCTTGACTTTATCCAGCTCAGATGTTCTGCCTGCTTCAAAGCCACGTGAGTCATGAAAGACAAATGCTGTATTGCTCTCAAATATCATTTCATTCTCAATATCGTGCTCCCCTCTCTGCCACACTTTCAGTAAAATGTAATAGGGAGTGTAGATCCACATTACCTGTGCAGTTGGATTGAGCTCAGACAAGTCAATCTTTTTCACATCAATAATGATAGATGATGATGTCTAGAGCATGGAATACCTCATGACCCTCCGGATTGAAAATTTTCGGCTGTTCCGTTGTATTGCAAACTCGTTGGAGGATGGTTGTCTTCCCCGCGTTGGCGCGGCCAATGATGAGGACGCGAAAGCGGTTGGTGAGGTTTCGAACTCTGCGTGCTCGTCTCTGTTGTCTTTCTATATCCTCTGCGGCCTGGGATTCAACATTGGAAAGAGACATTTGTCGCTGGGATGCCTGAGATGGTGGAAGTGGTGAAGAACCAAGATAAGCGCCACGCAGTGTATTGTTTGGTTATGCTGGGTCAGCCACTCGAGTGACGTCACTGACTCGCTTTTCGTTCTTCCCAAGTTCTTCCGTTCGTACAACTTGATTCCCTTGACTCAATTTCCAATATATACACACGTCATTGGCTCCCCAACTGAGCTTTTCAATCTGCCCACGACGATCGTGAAAGCGCGCAAGTTTGTTGCCAGATTTGAACATCAACCAAGCGGCGAGGGAGTGCGAGGGAGAGGGTGAGTACAAATCTCAAGTACTCAAGGTTAACTTACCCTGAAGTTTTGTTACAGTCCAGGTGAATGCCCCTTCGAGTCGCCATTCGAGCTCCAGCAGTGGCATGAGTTCGCCACTTAGTATACACAAGTCTCCTCGGCAGCGGGCTTCTGTCTAGGACGTCATTTTCCTTCATTGACCACGTACTAGAGGACTTAAACTACGGTGACTGAAGACCCGGAAGGTTGAAGAAGTGGCTGTAACATGAGCAGTATGAGACTAAATCCTACTTGGTACGATCATCAGCTACAATTCTATCGTGATGTGCCATCCCATTTTGCCAATGAAGTCCCCGTCTCAGCCAAGATCACTGTTCTCCCCCATTTTCCCTTCTCACACCCCCTACGCATTTGTCCGTGAACCGCGACGTCCGTGTAGGTTTCCACTCCACTGGTGGCTTGAAGGCGTACCTTCGATCTTGAGTATGCTCCCCACCATCAGGAAAGAAGGCTACATGAAAGCCTGTAAGCAATGTGGATCCGCATCGAATGACACAACTCACGCTGCCCTATGAAACTATGTTCGCCGTTTTCTTCATTGCCGTCAGGGGTAGCGCGTCGTTCTATCGCCCAACAGCAAGCTAGCCACAGAGAAATATCAGAACTACGCCGCACAACCCCAAGAACTGGATTTATGCTTACCTTTTTCCCCAGTTCCTCTTAGATGGGGTTGCTACCACTTGGGCGGGCAAGCCCTCAACGAGACTTTGTTAGTGTACGATTAACGACTTTGCCCTGGCTCGTTTCAAGCATTCAATGTATCCACAGCCAAAGAGCGTTTGCACCGCTGAAGAGCGACGGTGAGCAGCAAATGACGCTTTGCTTCATAACTCAATTTCCACACGTTCGAAGCACCTGTCTCTGGGACGCCGCACTGGGAATACCCCTGCGATCCAAACTCGAACGGAGGTGAATCCGGACAGGGCTGGCAGCTGCTATTCCTCGGTTCTAAGGAGTCGGAGTAGTTCTGTTCGGCGAGACGTTGCAATGAGTATTCAATCGGGTTGTCCTTTGCCTTCGTTCTAGAATAGAATTCAGTAATTACATTAGTTACGACAAAGATACTTAGTCACAAACGAGAATGAGTACCGTTCACAATGATTTTGCAAGTTGAATTTGAGCGGAAAAGGCTGTAGATGATCAAACATGACCGTCCTGTCAATCAGAGTGGCAGCAATTGTAGGGCCGATCTGTGCAGGAGGGGTTTAGGGAAATGCGACATAGACATAGACAACGTACCACCGCGATTCCAACTCTTCAATCCAATTCAAGTCCTTAATGCAAAGGTTTTGTTGTTCCAGTTTGCCGACGTCATGGCTGGTGAAGTCCTTCCAACCAGTCTCAGACAGGGGTTTGTAGCTGGTGGGGTGGTTGCACCAGAATCGACGTTCCAATTTATGTTTCCCGTTGCCCTGATAGAAAAGCCAAGATGAGGATACATAGTTCCTACATCACACTCGACCCACCTAGCCGCACAGACCAGCTTCTTCCGTTCCGCGCTAAACAGCACTGCTCGTCTCCGTATATCTGGCCACTGAATTTGAAGCTGGCGGTGAGAAACACTTGATTGAAATTGGGTCGGTCAGTCCGTCCGTCTTGAACAGTGAGTAGCGCTTTTCTGGCAGCCTGAAAAGTAACTGATTGATAGATCAGATACGAAGAGCTCCCGTCGATGAGGGCTTACCATCTCAGCACGTCGAACTGTCCGGACCATTGGGCGTCGTGACCGTCATGGTAATCTTGAGTCTGTTGTTGGTAAGCATACAGACAAGTGAGAAAAGATATAACAGACCCACCCCGACTTAAAACGTCGATGTCCTGCTTGTAAAAGTACGATCTATGACGGCAATGAAATGAACGAGTTTGCCCCCTCTTATTGGACACGTCATTTTGGTGAAACACTTCAAAAGGGCGTAGGCCCTTACATACGACGATTCCGCAATCTGAGCCGATCATGGGCGTCGAGTTGTACATCCCTTCTGGGGTGAAATTTTGTCGCGACTGATTATCAGAGAGTGTGTGAGACTGAGAGTTTATATCTAAAATGATTAGCTTCGTACGAGGTAAAAAGCTTGAGAAGAACTCACAAGCAGTGCGTACAGAGTGAAGATGCTAGTTTGTATGAGCGCCAGGCTGGCAGTGCCTAACACGTAACAAGTTGCAGCCACGGCTTATGGGAAGGGAAAGTTTGCTTCCTTCGCGTATAGTATCGATTCCACACTGGGTAGAAACCTACTATTCCCAATGTGTCTTGGAATACAGGAAAGGGTGCTCGGTTTTGAACCTGAGGCTGGGCCCACAAACATTGTCACTCTGGAGAAGATGACACCGAAGAGTGCATTGCTGGCGGCCTCGATGACGCGCAACTTCACTTTTCGATTCATAACTAGATCAAGAAGTTTCCGTAAAACCGTAAGACCTTACAGGACACCACTTTCACACTTGCCATTTGAACCGAGGGCCAACTTTTGTGAGGGAAGGATATGTCCCACCCAGTAGTCAAGAAATCAGATGGTGGCGAACGCCACGATGTCCCTAACGGCAAGAACAGTCAGCTTCAGAAAAGGGGCGAAGCGCAAGAAACAACTCACCGTAAAGGGCGCAAGATCGAAATTTCCACACACTTGCGGCCACCCCGCTCTGCATCCACGTCGCTGTCTACAAAGCCACAGGCTCATAGAGGTCCTTTATCTCTTTGAACTAAACTCCCCCTACCCAAAAATCTCTCGGACCAGAAG